ATATGTCAAGATGATGAAAAAGAATGGGATGTCCAAGCATCCAAAGACATTATTAAAGATTTACCAGTCGATAAAGGTGAGGTTGTTGGTATGAAACTAACCTCATTTGTGGAAGAATCTAAGTTTGCATTTTTAGCGGTTTCAGATCAGCAAGAAATTAGTTATAATAAAGATTAAATCATCGATTCTGGCTATTCCAACCACATGACAGGAGATAAGGGGAAGCTTGTCAACATGAAGAAGTATAAAGGCGACCAAGAAGTTGTGATAGCAAATAATTTAAGATTACCTATCACACACTTCGAAAAGACCGTGTTTACGCCGCGCTACAACCGAATCAGATACAACTACGAGATGTATACCATGTATTGGGTATGAAAAAGAACATTCTATCTGTTTCCTAATTAACAACTTCTGAAAACTATGTAGTATTTGGGCCACAATATGTAAACGTCTATTAAAACTTGATTCCGCCAGGAGAACCTGTCATGGAGGGACGAAATGTAGAAATTGTTTATGTGATATCGATAGAATTAACATACATAGACAAAAAGAATAAGACGACTGATCTGTGGCATGCTTGGCTTGGCCATGTGAGCTATTACAAACTCAAGATTATGATGTAAAAGTCAATGTTGAAGGGTCTTTCACACTTGGAGATTCGAGGAGGGACCATATGCAGAGGTTGTCAGTATGGTAAAGCATGTCAATTACCTTACAAAGAGTCACAATTCAGAGCAAAGGGATCTTTGGAGCTCGTACTCTCGGATGTATTTGGCCGAGTGAAGCAGGAATCGATAAGTGGCATGCAGTACATGATCACCTTTATTGATGATTACTTGAGATACATCTGGGTTTATTTTCTAAAGGAAAAGTCTAAAGTACTCTCCAAATTCAAGCAATTCCAAGAAAAAAGTCAAAGGAGAACTCGACAAGAAGATTCATTGTCTACGCACAAACAACCAGGGAGAGTACACATCAAAGGAGTTTTACGACTATCTGAAGCAGCATAAGATTCGACGATAGCTAACATGCCAAAACACTCTGCATACAGAATAGCGTGGCTGAAAGAAAGAATCGTCATCTCGCCGAAATTTACAGAAGCATGATTCATGCTAAGAACATGCTAGGAAGTTTTTTGGGCTGAGTGTATGAAGATTGCGGTGCGTGTGATCAATCGGCTACCACAATAAAAATTGGAGTTCGTATCATCATTTTAGAAGTTATGGAATATCAACCTAACCATAAGCCATTTTAGAATTTTCAAATGCGTATGTTATATCTTCAAATGCGTATGCTATAAGGTGTATTTTTATGGGGTATGATAGTGAAAAAAGGATGGAGATGCTGTGATCCCACAACCAAACGGTGCTATACATCAAGGAATGTTATATTTGACGAAGCCTCATCTTGGTGGGCTTCACAAGAAGTTGCGCTACTAGATTCTAAAGATCTGGAGGATCGGCTACAAGAGAAGTTAGGGAACTGAAGTCAAGAAGAAAACTTACGTCAATTAGAGAAAGATAAAATCAAGATCTTCAACATCCTCAAAGGAGAATAATCCATGGAAGACTGGTGTTTATCAGACACCATCAGAAAAAATGCGCCCGAGTAGTTAAAGGACATTGAAGAAGAACCGTTGGAACAACTTTGAAGATCAACAAGACCTAGAAAGCTGAATCCTAAGTGTGTTGATGCTGCCATTATGAAAGATGTGAAGGAGCCATCTAACCTCGAGGAAGTATATGGAATTGCTGAATGGAGATGAACAATAGAGGAAGAAATTCAAGCTCTATAGCAGAACCAAACTTGGGAGTTGGTGCCAAAGCTCAAAGATGTCAAACCTATCTCCTACAAATGGGTTTACAAAGTCAAGACTCGTTCAGATGGGTTGATTGAGAGATACAAAGCACGCTTGGTGGCTCTAGGATTCTCTCAAAAGTATGGATTGAGAGATACAAAGCACGCTTGGTCGCTCTAGGATTCTCTCAAAAGTATGGACTGGATTATGATGAGACATTCAATCCAGTTGCGAAGATAACAACAGTTCGAGTTCTTCTAGCTCTAGCAGCCAGTAAGAGTTGGAAGTTTTGACAGATGGACGTGAAGAACACATTTCTACACAGTGAGGTGGATCGAGAGATTTATATGGAGCAACCAATCGGATTTGAGAGCAAAGAAAAGAAAAGATCTGTTTGCAAACTAAAAAAACTCTCTACGGACTGAAGCAAGCTCCGAAAGCTTAGTATGACAAGGTTGATGAGTTCTTAATTCAAAGTGGGGACTCTCTTTCTCCTACAGATTCTAGTTTATTTGTCAAACAGACTAGTAATAGGCTAGCAATCGTGTTGGTCTATGTGGTTGACTTAATCTTAATTGGAGATGATGAAGCGGAAATCCAGAGAACAAGAACAAATCTCTCAGTCGGGTTTTAAATGAAGGATCTTGGAGAGCTCAAGTATTTCCTCGGATTGGAGGGAAGGATGGACTACTCCTTTGTCAAGAAAAATATGCGAAGCACATGCTGCTCAAGTACGAGATGTTCAACTGCAAGTCAATCTCAACACCGATGGAGTCAAATCTGAGACTGTTTGTACATGAAGGAAAAGATTTGAAATATCCAACTGTGTATCAATAACTAGTTGGAAACTTGAACTATCTAACGATGATAAGACCAGATATTTCATTTGCGGTTGGTGTCATGAGCCGATACATGCAGAAGCCAAAGAAACCTCACTTAGAAGCAATCCGAAGGATCCTAGGGTACATTATAGGTACAATTAACTATGGTCTCATGTATCAGAAAGGAGAAGAATATGAGGTCTATGGCTATTGTGATGCTGACTATGCTGGAGAACATAACACTCGAATGTCTACTATCAGATACGTGTTTAGTCTCGGTTAAGTGGCTATATCTTGGTGTAGCAAAGAGAGTCAATGGTGTTATTGTTAACTATAGAGGTGGAATACAGATCGACAGCAATGGAAGCTCACAAAAGCATGTGGCTTTTTCAGTTAATGAGAGATCTGCGTTAGTCCACAAACTACTTAGTAGCTTTGCATTACGATAGTCAGTCTGCAATACAATTGGCAGATAATCCATTTTTCATGCTAAGATGAAACACATCGAAGTACATCATCACTTTCTTCAAGAGAAAGTTCTTCAAGAGGAGATAGTAATGAAGCTAATCGGGACAAACGAACAAATAGCTAACATATTCACCAAAGCACTGAGTACTTCAAAGTTTGTAGAATTTTGAAGTCAGCTTAGATTCATGGATAGAGAATTCGTCACTGAGGGGAGTGTTAAAATTCAGCAGCTTCACATCTACCCCCACCTACCTAACTATAGTAACACTAACACCTACCCCTAATAGTAATCACCTAACCCTAATAGTACTTACCTACCTCTAAATCAATGTTATAAATAACCCCCAAGTGTTTGTTTGAAATCATCCCAGTAGCATAAAGAGAGAGAGAGTATTTATATTTGAGAATATAGTGTGTTTGTGACACTAAAGAAATAATAACAAAATATTTTTTTGGTGTCCACCACTCCTCTCAACTCTACAAAATCCCCAACCCAAAATACATAAATAAAATTTTATTTATAGAACACTAGTGGCATCAATATTTTGGAAATAAACTCAATAATCCTACTTGCTCTCATTATCCCATCGCTTTGATCCTTGTCCTGTTACTGCAAATATCATTAAATAGTAGTAGTAATAATAATAATAACAATAAAAGATAAATTTAGCGGAATAAAGTATTTTATTCTAGATAAAAGAGGGTGGCCAAGGATGTTGAACTGCGATATTGTTTTTATTCCCACTCGCAATAACGATGCTGACGTCTACTGTGGCGTCAGCAGAGATAATGGATTTTGGATCATGTCCCATCATGGAATATCTGATTTTTTTAAAAAAAAATTAATGTTTTTTATTTTTTATGTTTATTTTTTATTATTCTCTGGGTCACTGAAGTGAAGGGGATATTTTCTGTCAGACAAATAAAGTCAAAGTATACTGTCAGAAGAATACTGCTTATACCGAGGAGGACCAGAAATTTTAGTTTCAATTTGTTTGAGATGCAAATAGATTTAAATAATTTTAAAAACAATAAACAAGAATTACATGCAACTGATACTTACCACACACACACACACACACACACACACACACACACACACACACACACACACACACACATATATATATATATATACACACACACACACACATATACACACACACACACACACACATACATATATATATATATATATATATATATATATATAGAGAGAGAGAGAGAGAGAGAGAATATTTATATTTGAGAGTATAGTATATTTGTACTACTAAAGAAATAATAACAAAATAGTTATTGGTGTCCACCACTCCCCTCAACTCTACAACCATTTCATAGCTTAATTAGCAATTATAACATCTTTTTCTTTTACTTCCTCAACTTAAAGAATTTTCTTTGGCCAAATCTATAGGATAATTGGCTCCAAAACTAGAGTTAAAATTCATCATTAATATGTGACCTACCTTGTCCAAGTCAAATTCTCTTACCAAGTTGCTCCTAGCCAATTGGTCAGATTAAAAAATCCTGTCCCTAAACGTGCATATTTTGTTCTCTCTCGGTTAAAGGGGGCAAAAAAAGCAAAGAGAATTATGTTGCTAAGAAAAGGACAAAATTGGCCTGTTAGTTAACTACATTAGGGAGATATTTAACATAAAGGTTGCATATATTATTCATACCCATTTTGTTTTGAAGATAACAAGCAAGCAAAACACCCTGTATATTCAAAAACATTCCTCTTTTAAGTGTGACCAAGCTCCATAATTGACAAGAATGAAAATAATCGATTAAGGAGTCGCATGCGGGTTATGCTTATAACATCCTTATATTATATCGTAAACACAATTAATCACTTATCTGACCCCCTCTTCACTCTATAAATACCCACCACCTCTTCATTCTTAATTAGTACCACAAAGAAGTACTAAATTCACTACTACTTGTGAATTCCGAACACTTCCTACTATCCTAATGGCAGCTACCAAGGCCTCTCTAGTCCTCTTCCTAACCCTAAACATCCTCTTCTTCAACCTCGTCGCCTCTTTCGTCGCCTCTTGGCCTCCCCCAAAGCCCTGCCCATGCCCACCAAAGCCCGGCCCAAGCCCACCAAAGCCCGGCCCAAGCCCATCCACGGGCAAGTGTCCCATTGATGCACTCAAGCTCGGAGTGTGTGCTGATGTTCTCGGCAGCCTTCTCAACGTCACCATCGGCAACCCACCAAAGAAGCCATGCTGCTCTCTTCTCGGCAATCTTGTCGACCTTGAGGCCGCTGTTTGCCTATGCACAGCAGTGAAACTCAACCTTCTCGGCCTCAACCTCAATATTCCTGTTGACCTGAGCCTCCTACTTAACTACTGTGGAAAGAAGTATCCCAAGGGATTCCAGTGCCCATAAATGACATGGTCGTGAAATTTGCTTGATCTGCTTGCGTGGTGATTTGTTACATTATTCTCGATGCATGTTATTGTTTGTATTTGTTTTTGTTTCTGTTTTTATGTTTGGTTGCTGTAAAGGGTGCTAGCTAGCGTGCGAGTGTGTGCAGGCTATATCTGTTATGTATTCCAAATTTTATAAATAAAAAAAATTTGTTGTGCTCTATGAGCTAGTGTGAATATATATATGCTGTGAATTGGAATAGATTGTATCTACCAACAAAAAAGAAAAACTTGTTGAACTCGAGAAAATTTGAAATTACTCGGGAAGAACAAGTGAAGAACATGTGGCATTCTAACATCATTCACTATGGTTCTCTTGAGATAGAACTCAAACAAGTGCATAAAATGCCTAGAACAGTCATATATCTAACTTCATACGTTTTATGAATATTGTTGTTGTCTCGATTGTATATAGACTGGAAGGATTTTTGAACAGTTAGGATAGAAGTAATTACTAGGATTTTTTAACAGTAATTAATGAATACTGTTGTTGTCTCGATTGTATATAGATTGTATATAGACTGGAAGGATTTTCGACAGTGTCCTGGTGATGAAGGAATTAATAAGGTACCCGGCTAAGTTTACAACTCACACAAAAAATACATAACATAGCCTGTTGATAATCACCCCAATTCTGGATAGTTGCCAGAATAACATAGCGTTGTGCATAGCCTAAGTGAAACGAAGAATGGAAAGAAAGAAAGCATTGTTATTTTATTTTATCTTTTGGATCGTTTTTTTTTTTCTTTTTTTTTAGGAATATCTTTTGGGTAGTTGATATGTATAAGAATATCTTTTTTGTCAGGAACCATCAACACCTGGAAGTTATGTCGCTGTAAATAGCGACAAAGTATCGCTCTCTCAAAGATTAACAACCTATCATTACATTAATTTTATGTTTAAAATGGCTATTAATCTGGTTAGCTAGTGACTCACTGAAAATATATATTTGAAGTAAGATGATACGTATGTAAGAACATGAATATTGATTTTCAATCTCCATGAAAAAGACCAGCAGGTCTAGGAGAAGCCTTCGCAACACAAGTATATATACAAGTGTTGCATATAAACACAGAAATTATATATATATATATATATGCTGTGAATTGGAATAGATTTTATCTACCAACAAAAAAGAAAAACTTGTTGAACTCGAGAAAATTTGAAATTACTCAGGAAGAGCAAGTGAAGAACATATGGCATTTTGACATCATTCACTATGGTTCTCTTGAGATAGAACTCAAACAAGTGCATAAAATGCCTAGAACAGTCATATATCTAACTTCATACGTTTTATGAATATTGTTGTTGTCTCGATTGTATATAGACTGGAAGGATTTTTGAACAGTTAGGATAGAAGTAATTACTAGGATTTTTGAACAGTTATAATACTGTTGTTGTCTCGATTGTATATAGATTGTATATAGACTGGAAGGATTTTCGACAGTGTCCTGGTGATGAAGGAATTAATAAGGTACCCGGCTAAGTTTACAACTCACACAAAAAATACATAACATAGCCTGTTGATAATCACCCCAATTCTGGATAGTTGCCAGAATAACATAGCGTTGTGCATAGCCTAAGTGAAACGAAGAATGGAAAGAAAGAAAGCATTGTTATTTTATTTTATCTTTTGGATCGTTTTTTTTTTTCTTTTTTTTTAGGAATATCTTTTGGGTAGTTGATATGTATAAGAATATCTTTTTTGTCAGGAACCATCAACACCTGGAAGTTATGTCGCTGTAAATAGCGACAAAGTATCGCTCTCTCAAAGATTAACAACCTATCATTACATTAATTTTATGTTTAAAATGGCTATTAATCTGGTTAGCTAGTGACTCACTGAAAATATATATTTGAAGTAAGATGATACGTATGTAAGAACATGAATATTGATTTTCAATCTCCATGAAAAAGACCAGCAGGTCTAGGAGAAGCCTTCGCAACACAAGTATATATACAAGTGTTGCATATAAACACAGAAATTGAAGTTATACGGTTTTGTAGTCTTGGAAAAAAAAATGCTAGATAAGAAAATAAAAGTAGAAATATGAGCGGAAAATATATACGGTGTTATCTATATGCATGTGCACCTCAACCGACTTGTGAAATGATACTGAAAGATTCTACATTCTGATATTTTTGAAAAGAAACTTTGATGTCGATCGGTAAAGTACCTGCTTGTGATGGCACCCACATAGGTCATCGATGGATCCTGAGAACTTTTTCCCTAATGAAAAGACGAGTAGTCCATCCTCAATCATTAAACGATAGATAACATGCTTGTGTCCCCTCAATGTTTCATTAAGAAATTGAGAAGGTAAAGATAAAGGACTTCCTTCAAGAATCAATTAATAATTATGGAGGAGAAGCAAAGGACAAATGGTGTAGAAAATTATAGATGCAAGGATTTATATATGAGCAACCCAGCAAACAAATAAACCATCAACCGTGAAAACTAATTTTAATTATGATAAATGATTAAGCCCTCAATATTACTTAGTTCTCTTTTGATTCACCCATAAAGTATCCAACTGTCTCTACAGAATTAAACCACATATGCCATGAGCTAAAAGACTAGATGCTACGATTCACCGATCGAACCGGTCAATATTGGTAGGCAGTTTTAATTTCCTAGATTATCTTAATAGAGACTCTAAAGATCTCCAATTCCAAGAGCTACATTACAAAAACCCTGAATAAGAAACTTCATGTTGTAATCTTATTATAATTGATTTTATAAGTTGTGATCTTGTCAATGCATTGGGCTAAATCTCTTCCCGTGAACTCTCCTTGGCCTATTCTTTAGATGTGTACTTCTCTTTGCGTCTATAATTTTTTTCCCAGATTAGCAACTTGAGTTTCTGCATACATCGCTATCATATCTTTGGTTTTAATATGCCTAATGACAAAAGAATGTTGATTAACAATGCTATAATTAAGTCGTTAATGCCCATCTGTTCAGTCTAATGATACAATTCGCAAAGATAATAACATGTTAATTAGGTGATCAAAGCACAAGAACCTGTACCTATGTCCATAGGAAGATTCTTTTTTGGTCAATAAAATAAATTTTATTCATTTTCCAAATGTGAAGTTGTGAAGTACATCAAATATACTAGAGGAAAGTCTGGTAATCAACTAACTCAGAAGACACACATTACATTTTCTCAAGTTTCTCTTTCATATGAAGAGGAATTTTTTTCATTGAAAACTTTGGAATAAATGGAGATCTTCACTGCACCAAACAAGAGTTCAGGCTCCCAAGCTTTGTGTTGAAAGATTCTCAAATTCCTTTCCTGCCATAACAAGTACACTGTGACTGATATAGTCATTCTTTTCGGTTTTTTTATAAAACAAACTCCCTTCAGATTGAAGCTATACCAGTTGATGATTAGATTCCAGTTGCAACCAATTTACTACTTTGTTCCAAACATGAGCAGAATACCGACATTCAAAGAAGATATGTTGACAGGTTTCTAATTGATGATTAGAACACAAGATTTGTGTCCAACATTCTCATTCGGCATAATCTGTCATGGGTTAAAAGTATGGAATGAGTGACTAACCATAGAATAAATGAGTGTTTAGGATAATGCAGTCCCCCAAAATTGTTTTAGACCAAGCAGCTTGGAATGTTGATTGAATTAAAATATTGTAAATAGAGGATATTTGAATTTTATCATTGGTGTAGCAGCCATTGATAATATTTAGAAGATTATCAATACTACCAAATTTACCTCTCACCATATCCCTTACTCTGAAGAGTTGTCTCCACATCCATGAGTCATTCACCTTAGCTTGAACCTGCCAGATATTGAAATGTTGTAGATAATTGCCATGAACCCATTTGATCCAAAGTAGATCTTTTTGAGATGAATCATCCATAGAAGCTTAATTGCAGCTACATAATTCCAGACCTTTGCTAAAAATAACCCCAAACCTCCTTGCTTCTTACCCTAGCAGATAGTAGCCCAGGAAACCAGATGAATTTTTGTAAAACCCCGTGAATTTTGAAAAATAGTGTGAATTATATTGATAAATAAGCTCGAATTATGATGAATATCATTTATGCATGAATGATTATGCTAACAATTGATTTGAGATCAACTAAGAATATATATGAGAGTATACAAAGGTTAAACATGCACAAAAAAGAAATCTGGAAAAATAACCAGTTAAGAGTATATATGCATTACACACCGATACAGTTTGAATCTAGAAAAACTGAAAAGACAAAAGTTGTAGGTATCTTCAATAGATTTCCAATGCATCTTAAATCATCTCATTCCGAGGTTGTACGTGAAAGTTACAGCTAAAATACCAAATACTATTTTCCTAGTCTGACTAGGTTTCCTGTTTTGGGTTTGGGTTATTTTGATTCGGGTTTGCAGTTATATATACATGTTTATACATGAAAAATATATTTTTTTCATTAGTATTCCAAACCCTAGTAGCCCCTCTTCCTCTCTCTCAAACCCTAATCATAATTTGTGAGATTTGGGAGAGCTTTTGAGGCGTTTGTCGAGAGAAATGCGAGATTTTGCGACTTTGATGAAGAGAGATTGGATGAAGTGAGGTCCGTTCCTCAGTTGAAGAAGGACATCATTTCACTTAGAGTTTTGGAGGCAACAGGCTATAGGATACCTTAGATGATGCATCTCTTAAGGTTACATTTGGATGATTGTGATGAAGGGCGCCAGGAGAAAGAATTTGTACTATTTGATTAGGAGCACGGTGATTGATAGAGAGCTGATGACCTCTTTGGATTTGGCTAGACCGTGGCGTTTGTTAAGGCTGAGTTATTAGATTATTGGTATCATGCATGGATTATTGAGGAGTGCTTTGACTGCAGATTGAAGTCATGTGAGCACATTTGTATGAGCAAGGAGACCGAGGTGGAGTTTGGCACTTCTATTCACCGAGCGAGGGGTCTTCTAGGTGGTGTTCATTCAGGCATTTGGGAGCCTTCCAAGGAGGCATTATTAGGAGGTAATAGGTATTTGGTTTCATGTGTTGGAAATTATTCTAGGTATTTGTTGGTTGTAACCAAGTCTCATTGGTATGATGTCCTAGTAGTCAACAACAAATAGAGGAAGTGTATTGGCAGAAAGGTAACATGTTGTTCTGTTTTTAGTTGAGGTTCTTTTCTACGTTTGTGCC